ACACACACACACACACACACACACACACACACACACACACACTGCAGCCAGTGATGACACTGAACTTCTGATCCTCCTGGATCTCCTGGATCTAGGAGAGCTAGGAATACAGTGTCTGTTCTGCTGCCTGTTGTACATGGTGTTTATGATTGAATTCACAGCTTCATTCAATACAGGTGTATTGAAATCATACAAAACACAAATCCAGCCATGTCAGTTGCTTTTCTCACCATTGGTGATCAAATACCTGACAGGAAGTTGCCTAAGAGAGGAGAGCTTCATTTTGTTTCACAGTCTGAGGGAATGCAGTTCATCATGGTGCAGAAGGTGTGGCAGCTGGTCGAGAGGCAGCTGGTCACGCTGCAGTCAGGGAGCCCATAGAAGATGCATGTCCTACCCATTTTCTCTTTTTCGTTCAGTTCAGGACCTGAGCCCATCCATGGGGGTGCTACTACCCACATTCAGGGGGGACCTCTGTCTTCAGTTAAACCTCCCTGAAAATGCCCCAAGGCACACCCAGAGGTTTCTCTCCTAGAGATCCCAGATCCCATTTAGTTCACAACAGAGATTAACCTACACCAACCAAAGTTAAATTTAAGATGGTGGCATATAAGGGACCACAGCTGAGTAAGATGGTTCATGCCAAGTCTCCCCTGGCAGTTTTGTTGAGGTGCAGACCAAGACCAAGCTCCTTGGCATGGTCTCTAAGGTTGTGGTTTAGTTCCCACCCATTTTTACTACTCACCTATGGCCATTAGCCATTCACCTTGCTTTCAACTCTCCAGTCACCTGGCCTGTGCTCAGCTCTCAGAGTTGTTCCATTAGCACTTCACTTTTCAGATGAGCCTTGCTGGGCTCATGTCTAAAACATTCTCTACACTCTCACTTTATCCTGTGGTGATATATTGTGTACCCCAATAAAGCTTGCTTAGGGATCCGAGGACAAAGCCAGTCACTAAATTGGACATAGAGGTCAGGCAGTGGTGGCACAGACCTTTAATCCTAGCATTCAGGAGGCAGAGATCCATCGGGATCTCTGTGAGTTCAAGGCTACATTGTGAACAGAGCCAGATCTGGTGGCACACACCTTTAATCCCAGCACTAGGAAGGAAGGAAGATGGCAGGGCACAGAAAGGTGTATAGGGAGTGAGTAAGCAGGAAGTCTTACTGTGGAGGCTGAGGATGTCATAGAGGTAAGAATGTGACTAGCTTGTTCTGTTTCTCTGATCTTTCAGCTTTCACCCCAATATGTGGTTCCAGGATTTTTTTTTTTTTTTTTTTTTACTAATAAGACCGTTTAAGATTCATGTTACATTATCCCCCAAATTTCTATTCATGGTTTGTACTTTAGCTCAACCCCCACTTCTTCCCACAAATTTTCCAGGCTGGGTCCAGCTTCTTGTCATACGCTGTCGCTGTAGCTTTTTCCTTTTCTTGAGGATTTGTCTTAGTTTGTAAATACATACTTGTTGGCATGGAGTTTAAGGTTCTTCTCTGACCCCGGAGTGTAAACGCTATGACTTTGTTCACTGTCTTGTCCATTTGTATCTGGAATACAGTTCAAATTTGACATAAATGGAAACAAATATGTTCAGGATTTGTTTTAGTATCTTTGAAGATTTTACTTGCTGTCCAAGTTTAATCTAGTTAAAAAAAATGAAAGAAGAAAAATCTGCCAGCTTTCAGTATACAAATATTTTATTTATGGAGAAAAAGATTGTTTATGGAACAGTTAGTATTGTATTGACACTAGACACAATTGAAGGGGAGATGGAATGACATTTTGTTGGAATAATTTTTACCAATAATTTTTACATGGATATCTGCTGTAAAATGAATTGTGTTCAGCAAAGAGTAGCTGACCATTTGGTTTAATTTTTAGGAATACTTTTGGTTATTATCAATTAGAATTTCTTTAATTCTTATACTTAGAGATACTGTGCTCATTAGAAAATGTCTGCATTCATCCTGGACTTTATGGAGAATGTGAAACGGATTGTGAGAGAAGATGGAGCACACACCAAGATTAAAATGCAGTTGCCATTTACTAAGCCATCATGTAAGCACAGTTCTCCGTACAGCACGTTGGACAGGACAGAACAGTTTCCTTCTCCTGGTAACTTCCACGTCTCACACGACGGAGGCTGTTGCTGTGTCTCTGATGCTGCTCTCTAGATTATGTTTCTTTATTCTTAACCCAATGTGTGCAATCCATTCACACGGATTCAAGCCTTCCCAGGTTCACTTAGATCAATGAAAAAAAAAAAAAATCCCAGAAAGTCTTTTACAAGAAGCAGTAAGCTCTTAGCTTTAAAACATATAGAATTCAGACATGAGTTGCAGAAACTGCCCCATTCTTCTCACCATTGTGGTTCCTGGCTGTGTTCCATCTACTGCTGGAACCTCTCACATGAATTCCCTGAAAAGTGTGGCATTCTTGCCAGCTAGGGACTCTGCTTAGTGACTCCTTCCTGCAAAATGCTGCCTTCATTATTTTTTTTTTCTATCCCATATGTCTGTCTCTCAGCAGGCGATTTCTGCATCCTGTTGAGGCAGGGGGAGGGTTGAACGCCTCTGACTTTTGGAAGCCAGGGAGGTACAATTTCCAGATTGACGTTCATCCGGAAGGCTTGCTGTGAGTCACCTGGGAAGTTCCCTGTGCTAACCTTTTCCTGGTGTTTCTCTGTAACTGTTTCCACCTCCCTTGACGGTCAGCTGTGGCAGAACACCTTCTCCCTCCCATAGCCTGGAGAAGGCAAGTGCAGGCAGATGATAGATCAACATGGCTGGATTTTTGTTACTGAGTTTTAACAATTTAATAAAGGAATTGGAGTTCAACCAGGAGCGTATTTATTGACAAAATTTTATTGATAAAATAACATTAAAGGTTTATGAACAAATTAAAAATCTCTGTAAAAGAAAATTACATCAACCAGGATGTAACAAAAGTATGTCTAGGCCTGGGATGAGGAAGTGTTCTCTGTTCTGGATTGGCTAGGTTAAGCAACGTCAGTAACAGTGAGAATTTTAATTCACAGAAAGCAACTATGACATAATCCTGGAAGTCACAAGAAAGGCTACTATGAGACAAATGCTATGTGGAGTGCATGATGCAGCTTCTGCCTAGTGTTCATCACCCTGATACCTGTTCCAACATCTTCATTTGCCTCCCTGCTCTGACCTGTCTGCTCTTCCTCAGCCCCCACTGACCTGTAGAACATCTTGTTCCATCAGCATGGGCTGCCACGCCAGTGACAGCTTTCCCTCCTGGCTCAGGTCTGCTCTTTGCTGGGTCCTTTGGCCCAGTGCCTCTGACCTTGGGTGGCTGCTGCTTTGAGTCTGCCTGGCTTTCTTCCCGAAGCAAGTGGTGATTATGAACTAGACTAGAAGACATTGTTTGAAATTTTCAACTTGTTTTAGGTACTGAAACTGCAGTGTCAATGTCTTAAGGACTCTTCAGCCCTCTGGATGTTGTATTTGGTTAGCTAATCTCACTCACAACAAGGAGGAGATTGTGGATTATTTCCTACTCTACATTAAAAAATGATTAAAAGCTGGAATCAACGCTGAATGGATTTTTTTTTAAACCCATAACCTTCCTTCCTTGCTCTAGGATCTTGAGGAAGTAGGACAATAGAAAGTTATCTGTTTGGGGTCTGTGACTCTTCTGGGTCACAATTCTGTACATAACCATCATTGTATTGATCCAAGGTGACACTGAGAGAAAATTGAAGCTATTCTTGGGGAACACGGAACTGTGTTCTGAGCTTTGGAGAAGCTCATGGATTTTTAGGGGAAAGCTCTCCCTTTGATAAAGGATTGTTGGTATCAGTGCTCCATCAGACTGCGACTTCCACTTAAACTACATAAAGCTAAAATGGAGTCAGGGTTTTTGTTTGTTTGTTTGTTTGTTTGTTGTTTTTTGAGACAGGGTTTCTCTGTATAGCTTTGGCACCTTTACTGGATCTCACTCTGTAGTCCAGGCTGGCCTCGAACTCACAGAGATCCACCTGCCTCTGCTTCACAAGTGTTGGGATCAAAGGCATGTGCCACCACCACCTGGCTGGAGTCAGGGTTTTATCCTGGGGTACATTAGGACACCTTTGGTAATACTGAACTTAAATCAGATCAGCTAATCCAGAGTCCATGTTAAATCACCAGCAGGAAAGTCCAATCAGGCTTGGCCATGCATAGAGACAAGAAAATGGTGGCGTTCTTCCCTGCTCCTCAGCTTAATGATGTGATGTGATGTGTGTGTATGTGCCTGGGTGGACAGACATATGTACATACATGTGCCTTTGCCCTTTGTGCATATATATATGTCTGTGCCTATGTGTTTATATATGTGCACTTGTGTATGTGTGCATGCACAGGTGCTTGTGCCTGTTTGTGTGTATGTTCATGTGCCTATGTTTGGGAATGTACATGTGCCTTTGCCTCTGTGTGTGCTTGTGTGTGTGTGTGTGTGTGTGTGTGTGTGTGTGTGTGTGTGTGTGTGTTCATGTGCCTATGTTTGGGAATGTACATGTGCCTTTGCCTCTGTGTGCTTGTGTGTGTGTGTGTGTGTGTGTGTGTGTGTGTGTGTGTGTGTAAATGGGATATTTATGAATTGTTACCAGGAACAAATTTTACCTTCAGTCTGTTGGATAGTTAGAGAATAGACACGTAAGAATCATAATGCTAAAAGCTAAATTGATGTGAGGGATAAAAATGATATAAGAAGAAACATGTCATCACATTCTTGCTTTAATTCATATCTAGAAATTTCCCCTGCTAGTCCAGTTGTAATAGATCAGGCAGTCGTGAACAGCATGTACTTTATTTATCTGGGTGAGTGTCCCTTTTGAATAATCCATCACTTTATTTGGGGAGGCCTGTGCTTCATTAGAGAGGTTGGTGATTCCTCGGGCAGTGGTAGCCAAGGTGGTACCAAGAACTACCACAGTGTGGCTGCTTTCCTGGAACCAAGGATAAATTCTCTGCCATAAGCCTTAGGGGTAGCCTTCTGTGAAGGAGGCTGACAGGTTCATTGTAGCCATGTGTTAATGGTGGAGTGTCTCTGTGGCAGTAGGGTCCTGGCTTTGCTCCTTAAACTTTACCTTTGTCATTCTGGAAAGCATTAGCATTTCCATGTGAAAACCAGATATCCAGGAAAGTGATGACCTTGAACCTTGATCTTCTTTGTACCATTCCATGGTGCAGGGTAAAGGCTGGGTAAGCGTATGTCCTTGTGACAAATGCTGGTATTGTATTTGGTAGTAAGGATCAGGAACCTATAGTGATTAAGAACTGACAGCTAACAAGCTGCTTTTACAGTCTCGCTTCTCACAACAATCTTGTGAGGTAGGAACAGTAGATAAGACTTTTATTTTTAGTCTTCAAAGATCGACACCAAAGACCACAGAGTCTAAGTGATTTGCCCTTAGTCATAGTAAATAGAAGGACCCAAACTTGCTACCATGTCTTCTGACCTTTCAGTCTGCTTTTTACCTGTAAGAGTTTCCAGTTTGATTGCAGATTGGAAAAAGTGCTCTGTAAGTTGACATAAAACTTGTTTCCAAGTCAGGTGGCTTAGAACTAACGCTTCGGTGACTAGTGGCTTCTGGATCACTACCTGCAGGGGCTCCAAAGGAACGGGATGCCTGCAAGCTGGCTTTCAACTCTGAATATTAGAAGATCCTCGAGGAGTCGTCCTGGGCTCCCTGGGGTCAAGGAGCAGAGGTGTAATTCTCATGGCTGTCAGTGTACTGCTACAGCACACAGTAGCTTAACTTATCCCACCTCCTCATTGGATTGTAAACTTCTCAGGGCAAGAACATGACTTACTCGTTTTATTCCCAGAATTCAATGCAGTGCTAGATCCTTTCAAAAGTTAAGCTTGTAAGGTCTTTGTATGTTTCATGAACTTCTTCCAAATTTTGTTGGGAAGAGGTTGTTTGCGTGGAGTTGTGTAACTGGGGGAAACTCAGTTGTCTTGGTGGAAGGATGAAACATGCTAGCACTACAAACTTAAGGTAGAGAACAGCATCCAAGTGACCCTTGTTTACAATGAAAAAGATCCACTTTTTATGGATTCAAGTTAGAGGTTCTCCATTAGCCAAGAATCCATCGAAAACGTCTACGTTTTGGTCTCTGAGTAAAGGCAATGTCTTTTAGCATGGAGAAAATTAGACCTTTCGTAAATATGAATATGGTATTATTTTAGTAATATGGAGAGGACTCTATGACAAAATATGATTAATCATAGTCAAAACTGATTCAGTGAGAGTTGGAAGAGGGTTCTATTTTTCTCTGGTTAAGTTTGCCAAGGCACATTCTCCTTGGTCCTTCACATCTCCCTGTATCCTGGCTCTCACAAGCCTGAGGACCCAGGGGAATCTTGACCAGGTGGAAACTGGGAACAAGAGGACAACACTGTTGTGATTCAGACTTGGACCTCAGTGTGAATGCTCTTGACCAGACACATTGGCAAGCAGTCCACAGACAGTCCACGATGAACAAGGATCATCGTTGCCAGGCTAATGGGCTGGCCCAGGCTAGACTCAGGACCTGTGGCCGAAAGCAGCAGTCATTTGCTACTCTTCGACAGGGGAAGTGTAGCAGGTGTTACAGCCTGGTGAAGACAACTTCTTGAATGGAAGAAGAATTTTAAATTTAGGAGACAGTATATCAGCTCACCAGTTTGTGGTACTCAGGACCCAATGAGTCCTGAAATCAAGAGTTGGGTAAGGGCTCAGTAGCTCCGGGGCTGGTAGAGGTTATGGGTCATCAAGAGGCCTTCCTAGTTGTGAAGACTGGTGCAGGTCATGGCTGGATGCCTGGTTTTTCCAGGTATTACTGCCAAGTTTCAAACATGGCCTTAATGGCCAAGCATGGCTTCTTTCAGACATTTCGGTTTCATTTGGCAGGGCTGGAGCCTGTGAGGAAACAAAGCAGAGGGTCATATCAAGGTTGAGGTTGGATAAGGAATAGCTTTGAATGTCTTGCCACACTTTGTAAGGCTCTGCTTTGAAGGTCCACTGAGAAGAAGGAGGCACATGAAGCCAGCCCTACCAAACTTCTCAATTCTGGCTGCATGGGTTTCTTGGACCCCAGGCAGTCACCAGGAAGCGGAGCATATCAGTTGCTCCTGCTATATAACCTGTTTCAGGGAGGACTCTGGAGTTTGGCCAAGTTGAGATTAGCATAGCTTTGGGGTAACAGAAGGTTTGGGGTGCCATCACCAGAAAAAAAAAAAAAAACAGCACTGTCTTACATGGGGAGTAAATAATATGCTTCACCAGTGCTGGTCCTGAAGCCCAGTCAGACATGAAATCCCAGTGCCTGAGTACTCAGATATTGAATTTCATAGATTAACTGTTAGTGATTAGTTTTAGATCTTGCATAAGCTGACTTCTTCATAGCAAATTGTGTATTGATATAATTAAACATTAGTAGTTAGAAACTATACTACACATTTATATCATTAAGCCTAAATGACAGAATTTCTATTTTGCTATTAATCACAATCTACATGATAAATTGGATGATTAGGAGATATAAAAAATTATAATTAGCACCAAACAAAAAATATTACAAGAAAAGAAGTCAAACCATAGGAAATATAAAATATTTCATGTTACAATAACACCTGTAACCCAAGTATTTTTTCTTTTTCTTTTTTCTTTAAGATTTTATTTATTGTGTATACAGTGTTCTGTTTGCATGTATCCCTGCAGGCCAGAGGAAGGAGTCAGATCTCATTACAGATGGTTATGAGCCACCATATGGGTGCTGGGAATTGAACTCAGGACCTCTGGAAGAACAGGCAGTCTTCTTAACCTCTGAGCCATCTCTCCAGCCCAAGTTTTATATGTACTGTTTTAAACGCACTACCTGTGAACTACTTCTAAATCTTATTTGGGAGGTACTAGGGTGAAACAGTTGTTTACATAGCCAAGCTAATAAGAATTTATTTTTCCTAAAGAGTTTTTATTGCTTACCTTTAAATAAAAAACAATAGGACACAAAGTTGCTTTATACATTTTTCTATTTGTAAAGATTAGAAAGAGGCATAACTATAAAGCATGAAGAGAGTTATCTCCATAAATAACTGCAATCCTTTTTATAGATTCCTTTGACTCTTTCTTTCTGATAAAGAGGCATTTGGGAACAAACGTGAAATGAATTCCACTTAATTTATGGAATGATGTTTTGAAGGAATTTTAAAAATTCAAAGAGTTATTTTCTGTGGTTCAGCTGATATTTTGGGTATGGTTATTAAGTTTTGGACTTTAGTTGTAATTTAATTGCATTTGGTTCAAGGGCTGTATTTATCTTGAAGTGACTAATAGGATCATGAAATACTTGTGCATTCAACTTGATCTTCTTAGTGATCCACATTAATTATTCCATTTATATGTCTTGGTAACATATGTCTTAGTGATCTCAGTAATGACCATGTGGAGGTCCCCTGTTTCTGAGGGTAGATGTAATTTTTACCCAAATGATTTACTAAGTTTCTAGTCAGTATTCATTATTCACTATGTTTCTGCTTATAATTTAGTGACTTCCTTGTTTCTTGAAGCCCAAGACACATGTCTTACATGCCAGCCATTAAATATCATAATCATAAAGTTTTAAAGTCATAGCAGGAATCTTGGACATGGGCACAAATCACATATCTTGACTTGAGTCAACCTCAGGAGGTGTCCGTTTCCTCCTGACTTCTTCATCTTTGTCAGGAGAGCTTGTGTCCAAGTCTCATGGTTAGTAAAACTTTTGCTCATCTTATACAGTTTAGAAAAGAGGAAGTGCTTTTGATTGTGTTAGCACAAAGGTAGCACTTACCAGTTAATTGAATTAAATATCCAGGGTTTTTTTTTTTCTTTTTTTTTTTTTTTTTAAGCAGTGTAAATTATTTGATTGAGCTCAGTGTGGAAACCATCCCTAAAGACTCTGAAGAATTAACTAGAAACTCTCAGAATTAACTAGAAAGTTCCTGAGCATGTCCTTTGAAAAATCAAAGTAAAACAAAGAGATATTAGATCTTGTCAATAAGTAGGTTTGGGAAATACTGATCTTAAATAATCTTGTTGAACTGTGTTTGTGACATGAGACTATTGTTTTCCTTTGTGGTTCTGGAAGTAGAACTTCGGCCTCATGCATGCTGGGCCAGAGCTTTACCACTGAGCTAGTGCCCCAGACCTGAGCTAAGTCTTAGAGTGTGTCTTCTTGACAGCTTGTAGAATGGTGCTACACTGAATATAGTTTGGAAACTCTGGAGTAGCAACTAACAGGAACTGCTTGTTTTATTTTTTAATGCATTTTCTCTATAAAATGGAACAGGTTAATAAATTATTTATTTATTTACACATTGTAAACAAATTAAGCTAAATATTTTTGGAAAATAGGAAATGTGTAAAAAGGCATAAATTTTGACCTTAATAGGCTTATAACTTAATTAGGGAGATAGTTCTATCATACATAACGTACCATTAAGCATTAAGATGCTTAATTCAATATTTGCTGATTCCTTCTAAGTATTGGGGTAAATAGTTCACATTAATGGATGCAGTTATTACAGAAAGGAAAATAAAATATTGGAATAACAGAAGAGAAAATCAAGGAGATTATGTGCTTTTTTTTTTTTTTTTTTTTTTTAGAGTTTTGAAAGGTTGAATGTATCTCTTAATTAAGGAAGATTACACAAAACTTGTTGGGCCTTTAAGCTCCTAGAAACTGGAAGTAGTGTGAAGACAATACTTTGGTATATTGTAAAAATGCCAAATATATTTATCACATATCTTGAGGCCTTTATATATAAGATCAGAGTGTTACAGAGGACAGTTCTAACCCATTTGTCCTCTACATCTACTAGCGTTCTCCTTACCCAGTTTTTTTTTTTTTTTTTTTTTTTATCATGAGCTGCTTGACTATTATCTGTGACTGGGATGGCAGAGATAGTGTTTTGTTTACTTTTATATGCTTGGAAATTAATGTGTTTACATCTACAATATCTGATGCATGGTAGATCCTGGTAAGTCTTTTCTGGCCATGTAAATATTAATGAAAAACAATTACAAGGCAGAAAATTGTGTATGCATATGCACTCTTAATTGCTGAGCCCTCTTTCCAGCCCTTCACTGAAGATTTTTTAATGGAAATGAACAGAAATGTTGAAGTTCTAGTTATGAAAAACATCAAAATGGTTGCAATATGTAGTTTGTGGTAAAATAAAGAGGAATCAGGGATCATTTGATATTGTTTAACAATCTCATTGTGAAGCAATGAAGGCCTCGAACCAGACACAAGGTGTTATGACAGAAGGACACAGAATATAGATGCTAAGTGAATCGGTATCTGGATATGGCTGGAGAAACATGAGTTGAAAACGGCTTTAATGACAATAGCTACAGTCTATGGAGTGTTTATTCATGGTTTCACACAGCACTTGCCTTAGTATTGAATCTTGTTTATTCACCACAGTCCAGGAGATGATTATGGTTATCATTCTCATTTCAGTGATGAGAAAATGGTAGTGGCTCATAAAATTACCCCAAGACCACACCACTGTGAAGTGGGAGTCAAGGTGGCAGCCAGTCCTACTCACCTCCAGAGGCTTTAATCTTAGCACTGGTTAATACACAGCTAATTGCTTTTTGAGTGATAGAAACATTATGAGATAAGATTGTTTGGGGGATAGTAAGGCTTTTGTGTCTTTGGGAAAGATGAGCATCCCAAACTAAGCTTCAAGTTTGACTTAGGAAATGATTAGCTTTGTAAATGGGCTAATAATACATCACTTGGCACATAGCCATTGTAGTCATGTGAAGGTCATCCTGCCTCTGTGAAGACAGAAACCACAGGAAGATGGAAATGCCTGCTACAAGCACACCCAAGCCAAGGCCTGGATGCATGAAGGCATGTTTCTGCAAGCTGAGAGCATAATGCTGCTCAGGGGACTAATGATAAAGCAGAGTAGCTTAGGGTTCCCAACACTTCCAAAGCCTCCATATGCCTCTGATTTGGGGGTCACACAAAGGCTGGTATTTGCTTTTCTTCTTTGTCCTAACTCAGTGAAGATGTGATTCCTGTACAGCCAGAAATAATACAGGCAACTCATGGGGTAGAGTGCTCATTGATGGACTTTTAATGTTTTTGTATGTATCCTTTGGGAAAGTCTTCTATTGTTTTTTTCCATTTAGTTTTTTTTTTTAAATTACAATGTTGTTTTACGCTTTGTGGTATTTAAATGTTAATCAGAAAAAAGTATATAAAACAATTGCAACCACATAATATACAGTGAGTTTTCACAGTGTATTTTTGATAAGGACTAGTTTTGAAGAGGGAAACAAGTGGACCCGACTGTCAGCCTGAAGCTCCTCATAGCATCAGTTCTTGTCACCTTGGTTGCTCTTTATCTCAGGACAGGCTTTTAAAAATGTTAATGACATGGCAAAATTTTATTTTTATGTTGTTGAATTGCTACAGCATCAGTCTTTCATGTGATGAGCCCTGGACTCTAAGGTATCTGAAATTATTAATTATTTCATGTTTAAGAAAACTGAAGGAGAAAACCCCAGAGAACAAGCTTCCAAAGACTATGGTAATTATTTAAGGCTTCAATGATGAGCTCCATCTCAACAGGACTTTGATTTTCACTCTCACTGGAGCCTGCTGGTGGAATGAAGCACTCGGTAAGGAAGCCTGTTGGACAGTTCTGGGCACTGGTCACTCAGAAACCTGACACACTCACCTCCTTGTGTGTCATCTTTTAATACAAAAAGTTTAGTTTGAATGTCTAATTTTGATAAACAAAAGCAATATGCAAAAATAATATTATTACTATGTAGGTATGCCTCTAGTGGAGAGATAATAAGTAAAAACAGAAGTAATTCAATCATAATAAGGTAGCAAAACACAGTAAAGGTAAACA